CGTTTTACTTCCGCCAACCTTCCGCCGCCCCTCCGCGGCAGAAGAGATGACAATTGGCTCGATCCTCGAAGGCAAGACCATTCTTGGAACGCCTCATGTGGCCCCACCCAATAATTCATCGCGCCGGCTGCGTCTGGTCGCGTGCTCTCTTGGACAATACAACAGGTCCGAGTACACATGCAAGACAGCCCAGGCGCATCGGGCGCGATGACACTTGAGGCGTGACCACATGGCGCGGCTTCTTGTTGCGCCGGGAAGAACACCCCTGGATCATCTGGCGCGGCCGAAGGAACGCTTGGACCCCATCGGAGGGGTTCTTGCGGCCATTCCAGCAAGAGCGCAGGCGCGTGGCGCGCGGCGAAACCCCTGATTCGCGAACCAGCGGCGGAGCCTCACTTCGGCGGCACCCGAATGCGCAGATGTTGGAAAACCTGCGTTTCGCAACCTCCAAGCGCTTGCTTTAGGAAACTCCTCAGGAAGTTCGCGAAGCATTGCCTAGCGCGGTTCTGGGGCAACGGGTCTGGCCGCGGTCGCCCAACGTGCTGGCAGAGGAGAGCGAGCGCGGCTAACATACAAAAACCAACGAGCGTTGCGTTCGGGATTCGCTCCGAGCCTGAGCTCCCAGCAACCCATAATCACAGGGCGCCACCCAACTGGCGAATACGTCGCCTAAACGTCAAACCACGCTCGACGTTTCTGCATTCACGAACGCACTCTCCCGACGCCATGCGCACACATCCACTGGGGCCTTGCATGGAGCTCCCTGGGGGGCAGGAAAGGTGTGAGGGAGTGCTGGAATGGGCGATGGGACGCCATGCGAACGCACCCACTAGGGCCTCACGTGGAGCTCACTCGGGGGAAGGAATCGTATGATGAGTGTGCCGAAATGGGCGCGAGAACGTCATACGAACGCACCCGCTGGGGCCATCGGTGGGGCTCCACAATGGGGCAGGAAACGTGTGAGCGTTGTGCCAAAACTGTGCCGAAATGGATGTGGGACGCCATGCGGATGCACCCACTGGGGACTTATGTGGAGCTCCCTTGGGGGGCAGGAAACGTGTGAGGGGTGTGCCGGAATGGGCGCGGAGACACAATGCGAACGCACCCGCTGGGGCCTCACGTGGGGCTCCCCAGGGGGAAGGAAACGTGTGAGGGGTGTGCCAGAGTGAGCGCGGGGATGCCATGCGAACACACCCCCTGGGGCCATAGGTAAGGCTCCCTGGGAGGCCAGAAACGTGTGAGGGGCTTAGTGGGCCCTGGAAACGACAGGGCCGTTTTTTACCGGTTCCGTTTTGCCGTTTTTTGGCCGGTTCCGACGCCGTTGCCGGTTCCGTCGTCGCTCTTTGACCGGTTCCGGCTCCGGGTCCAATCCTGGAGCCGTTTTTGTTGCCGTTTCCGGTCGCCGTTGTTTTGGCGTTTCCGTTTTCAAGGGACACTTTTTCGGAAACGGTGGAAAAACGGCCCTGCCGTGTCCGGGGCCCCCTAAGGTGAGGGGTGTGCGGAAATGGGCGAGGCCACAGGTGGAGCTCCCTGGGGGGCAGGGAACGCGTGAGGCGTGCGCCGGCATGGGCGCGGGGACGCGTTGCGAAGGCACCCACTGGAGCCTCGGGTGGGGCTCCTTTAGCGGGCAGGGAGCGTGTGAGGCGTGTGCCGAATTGTCGCAGAGGCCATGCGAACGCACCCACTGGGGCCTTACGCGGGGCTCCGGAGGGGAGCGGAAACGTGTGAGGGGTGTGCCGGAATGGGCGCGGGGACGCCGTGCGAACGCACCCGCTGACGCCTTACGTGGGGCTCCCCAAGGGGCCGGAAACGTGTGATGGGGTGCTGGAATGAGCGCGGGGACGCCATGCGAACCCACGCACTGGGGCCATAGGTGGAGCACCCCGGGGGGCAGGACAGTTACTCGTGAGGCGTGCCGAAATGGGCGCGGGGACGCCATGCGAATGCACCCACTGGAGCCATAGGTGGAGCTCTCAGTGGAGCGCGGCCCTCGTGAGGCATGTGCCGAGATGGGCGCGGGGGCGCCATGAGAACGCACCCACCGGGGCCGTGTGTGGAGCTTCCGATGGGGCCACGAAATATGTCAGCGGCGTGTCGAAATCCGAAGGGGGAAGAGGTTGTTGATGATAATGATGATGATGCTGATGATGATGATGCTGATGATGATGCTGCTGATGATGCTGATGAGAATGATGATGATGATGATGATGCTGATGATGATGGTGATGATGATGATGCTGGTGATGCTGATGATGCTATTGATGGTGACGATGACGATGATCGTGATGGTGATGAAAATGATGACGATGATCGTGATGATGATGATGATGATGATGATGATGATGATGATGATGATGATGATGATGAGGAGGACGATGATGATAATGACGACGATGATGATCATGATGACGATGATGGTGATGATGCTGATGATGCTGATGATGATTATTATGATGGCGAGGAGGAGGAGGAGAAGGAAGAAGGAGGAGGAGGGGGAGGTGGATGGGAAGAAGTAGACGCGCGGCGCTGCGGATGTAAAGACCAGAGAAAAAAACAATCCATCTCGCAAAACGGGGAAGCATAACCCCCGCCCTCCAACATGAAGCAACCGCATCGAGGTGTGCGGGCGTGGAGGCGGTCAGCCAAGATTGTGCAGGGTTACCTTTGGATGGAAAGCCACCTAGCGGCGTCGCGTTATTTGCGACTAGACTTCCAGGATGGTGTCGAGATCTCCGTAGCCCACGTCGTGGGAAAAAAAAAACAGAGGACGTCTGGGGATGAGGGTGGAGCCCAGCAGAAAACGCCCTCGGAAATCTACTGCGACTGCTGCTGGGCGCAAGGCATTCGCTGTCAAACTGACCGCGGTCGCGGTCACAGGGAGAGCAAAGTCTGTCCTCATTCCTGCCACATTTCGGCCTTCTCGTGAAATGGAGAAGGCGAGGGGTATGACGAGTGGGAAGGGTGAGGAGTGGCAGGAGAAGCGGGAACGGGGAAAGAGAGGTAGGGGACGAAAGCGAGGAGGGTGAGGGGGCGATAGAGGGGGAGGAGAGGAGGGGGGGGGAGAAGAGGGGATATCACAGACCAAAAAAAAAACCGAAAATCTTCTAGTAACACCTAACACGCCCAATCACTCAGTCAAGCACTCCCACACGCACGCTGTCTTATGATCCTACTCCTCCTCCACCTCCTCCTCCGCCTCCTTCCTCCTCTTCCCTCTCTCATCCTCCTCCTCCTCCTCCTCCTCCTCCTCCTCCTCCTCCTCCTCCTCCTCCTCCCTCCTCCTCCTCCTCCTCCTCCTCCTCCTCCTCCTTCCTTCCCTCCTTCCCTTCCCTTCCCTTCCTTCCCTTCCCTCCTCCCTCCCTCCCTCCCTCCCTCCCTCCCTCCCTCCCTCCCTCCCTCCAGCCCCCCATCCTCCTCAAATCCTCCCCCTCTTCCTTTCCCCTCCTCCTCCTCCTCCTCCTCCTCCTCCTCCTCCTCCTCCTCCTCCTCTTCCTCCTCCTCCTCGTCGGCCTCCAGAACTGAGGAGCAACGATCGGGGGGGACTGGCATAGGGTGGGAAACATCGACCTGCAGTTGGCGACACACCGCCGATAGGTCGGCGATGGGCCTCCGATGGCGAGACCACACGTTCCTGGGAGGGCTGGGGCCATCGGCCCCTACTGGCGATGAGTGGACGATTGGGGGCCGCTGCATCCCCCCCCTCAGCCTATCCCCCCCCCCCTACCGCTGCCCCCGAGGACGGCGGCGCCCCGACCCTGGCCGCCTCTCCCTGCAGGCTCGGGGGGAGGAGCGGGGCCCGCGGAGCCCAAGAGCTCCTTGGGAACAAAGAGCAAGCGGCCGCGACCTTGGGCGGCGGCATCCGCAGCCTAACCCCCACCGACGATCGGTTCTCCTAGAGGCCTCCTGGATGGGGTCGGAGTAGCTGGGGTCGGAGGATCGCGCCGCATCGGCGACACACCGGCGATGCATCGCCGATGCATCGGCGATGCATCGGCGATGCGTCGTTGATGCGCCGGCGCCGTCGGGGTGGAGAAAAGCGGGCTCCACATGGAGCCGCATCGGAGATGCATCGCCGATGCATCGGCGATGCGGCGATCCTCCGACCCCATCGACTTCGACCCCATCGGGAAGGCCTAGAACCGACGATCGCTTCTCCCGAATCGATGGGAGGCACGGGCAGGGCTCGGAGTTCGCCGCGTGTTCGACTAATTCCGAGCCCTGCCCCCGCAGCCCATCGAGCTGCCTTAGCAGTGGATGCGCGAGGGCAGGGGTTCGTCACCCACGTGAAAGTCTCGAGAGAGGGGCGTAGCGAAGCTGCCCCGAACCCAGTGTCAAACTGTTCGGCATTCGCCAGGCGATTGACATGAAAGGGAGGAACTCCTCCTCCTCCTCCTCCTCCTCCTCCTCCTCCTCCTCCTCCTCCTCCTCCTCCTCCCCCTCCTCCTCCTCCTCCTCCTCCTCCTCCTCCTCCTCCTCCTCCTCCTCCTCCTCCTCCATCTCCTCCTCCTCCTCCTCCTCCTCCTCCTCCTCCTCCTCCTCCTCCTCCTCCCTCTTCCTCCTCGTGGGAGATCTCGCCGCCGAGATGTCTCTCTCTGCGGGAGAGGCGCCGGGGGTCCGAGCCCCGCCCGGAGAGAAACGCCGGCCCACAGGCCGGTCCCGGGGTGCGCTCTGGCCGGGGCTGGGAAACAGCTCCAGGCCAGGGCGACGAGGCCACCCGATCCACATAGAGAGTGCCCCAAGCCGCAGACCTCACGCTGTTCCCAGTCGAACGGAAGGGCCACATCCCCGACACCATTCCGAGCACCCCGAAGAGAAGCATCGTAAGGACACGCTGGCGAGAGGCCGAACAAGTATCGCCTCCCGCAGGGACCGACACGTGAAGACCCTGCAGTTTCGATACTGTCTTGGTGCCCGGAATCCTTTCTGGAGATTAAGGCTACAGTATGTTGGGACATCAAAACCCAAACCTCGAACCTCGAGGTCTATGCCCAGCGGCGCACCACAGCCCCGTGTCCAAGTCCGGGGAGCAGTACACGCCCGGCTCCCAGAAGTCGTGCCCGAGGCTGAGGTCGTTGGACTCGAGGAAGACGCCCGTCTCCAGAATGAGCCAGGCCGCGTACCACCACCTCCCCAGTCGCACTCAGCCTGCTGACCCTGGGGGAGGAGGGGGAGGTGAGGAGGAGGGGAAGGGGGGGATGGGACAGAAGGAAGAGCAGAAGAGCAGGAGACGGAGGAAATGAATTTAAGATGCTGGAGGAGGCTCGGGAGGAGAAGAGTAAGAACATGATCCACCACTGTGCACCACCCACGCCGACTTCGCTGGTGAAGCCAGCCAGCTGTCGCCTGGGACCCCGGCCGGAGTGCGCCAGGTGCAGACTCCAGGGCTCCCGAAGGCTGCTCGTGCCAGCCGTGCAGTTGTGGACGTGCTGGGCGCGCAAGGGGGAGGGAGAGGAGGGAGGAAAAGGAACGGAGGCGGGGAAGCGAGGAGGAGGAGGAGGAAGCCAATCACAGGAAGCGAAGCCAGCTGCACTCGGCGCCCCCTTAGATGCAGCAGGGTGGCGGCACGCAGACTGCGGCCCGTGCACGGCGCGACGTGGGCGTGCTGGGCCATTGCTCTGTAGGGTCTGTGCTCTTAGAAGGGCCCCTCAAAGACTGCATGCACACCCCTGCTCCCGCGGCCACGTTCCCTGGCCATCGCTCGGACGTCCATTCCCTGTGTTTTTGTTTCGGTTTCGTGCGTGGCTTTTTCGCCACATGATCGAGGATGCTCCTCGATGGTCCTCGCCGAAAGAAAAATGCACACGTCCGGGCGATGCCAAGGCTCCCGAGGCCACGCTCCTTCGTAACAAATCAGGGGCGCGCGCTCCCGAGGCCGCGTTCCCTCGCAAACAAAAATTATGGGTCCGCGGGTCGAGCGTCCAATACGGCCCAGGCAGTCAACCAAGGCAATAGGGGGCCACATGCGAACCCCACCCCTACCCCCTACGATTTCTGAGTGAACCCCACCCTCCCCTCAGAAATCGTGAGAGGTAGGGGTAGGGTTCGCATGTGGCCCCCTAGGCAACCAAGACGGCCCAGAATGCTTCAAAGACGGGCCAGGATGGCCCCAAGGCGGTCGAATATGGCCTCAAGACAGCCCAAGATGCTTCCAAGAGGGCCCAAAAGGGCCCAAAAGGGCCCCAAGAGGGGCCCAAGAGGGGCTCCAACAGGGCCTGAAGAAGCCAAAATCACTGATGTTCTCTGGTTGTTCAATGATTATCGCATTCTCGCCTCTTCAGGCTTCCGACAGCTCAGGACGACCCAAGAAGCCTCCACGATGGCTCTAAGACGGCCCACTACGCCCCCGCAAGGGTCCAAAGAATGGGGGCCCAAGAGACATCTAAGACGGCCCAAGACGGCCCAAGGGAGTGGGACCCAAGACGGCCTTAAAGGCCCTTCGACTGCCTAAGACGGTGCCAAGACGGCCCTACGACGGCCCCCAGGCACCCGCCATACTGCCAAGAGGGCTTGACGGTTTCCCACTTTTTGTTTCACTGCATGCTCTTACACTTCTAAGGAGGAACAATCGGCGGCAACTGGCCCAGGGGGGGTGAACATCGACTTGGAATCGACGCTAAATCGCCGATAGATAAGGGTGCAAGGGCCTTGCAGGGTCATGTTGGCGGTTTCGACCGGGACCGGCCAGCCAAAGTCGCCCAGGATGGGCTGGATGGCCAGGGATGCAAGGTGGGCTACACGCAAGTGACCCCATGCAAGAATGACATCTGGTGCGAGGCCCAACGGGGGACGCGGGGTGGCCAGACCTGGGCGCGCCAGCCGCTTCTACCGCTTCGAGTTCAGCGATTGGGGGACACCACTGGGTCCGCACCACAGATCATTCTGGCGGAAGGTCGCTCCTACGTCTGGTTGACAAGGGCACCCTTGGAAGGTTGCTCATCCATACTATGCAAGCTGACTGTAGCCTTAGGTCGGGTATGTCCTCCTGCAGGCGGATTCTGGAGGAAAAAAAAACATAGTCAAACCAAGCATCAAACAATTGTAAAAAATCATCGCCGAACCGTCCACAGGCTATTCTTTGACCATTTCCCAACCATCCTGTGGTGTTGGGTCCTCGTTTTGAAGAGACAGCGCCCCGCGTTCCTCCTCCTCCTCCTCATCCTCCTCCTCATCATCATCAGCAGCAGCAGCAACATCCTCATCATCAGGATCATCATCAGCATCAGCATCATCAGCATCATCAGTATCTGCAGCATCAGCATCAGCATCAGCATCAGCATCAGCATCAGCATCAGCATCAGCATCAGCATCATCACCACCACCACCATCATAATCACTATCTTTATCAACACAGCATAATCATCAGCATCACCATCATCATCAGCAGCAGCACAATCAGCATCGTCGTCATCACCATCAGCAGCATCATCACCATCATCATCACACTCGTCACCGTCATCGTAATCACCATCGTCATCGCCATTCCGGCCATCATCATCACCATCATCGTCATCGTTCCCTGCCCATTCCTGCACGCCCTCACACGGTTCGTGGCCCCATGGGGGGCTCCACCGAAGGACCCTGTGGCAGGGTTCGCATGCGGTTCCCCGCCCACCGCGCGTCCATTTCGGCACACCCCTCACACGGCTCGTGGTAACATAGGAAGCTCCCCCGAGGGCACCGGCAGCAGGGTTTGCATGCGGTTCCCAGACCGCCCAGGTCCATTTCGGCACACCCCTCAGACGGTTCGTGGACCCATGGGAAGCTCCACCGAGGGCCCCAGTGGCAGGGTTCGCATGCGGTTCCCCGCCCACGGCGCGTCCATTTCGGCACACCCCTCACACGGTTCGTGGCCCCATCGGGAGCTCCACCGAGGGCCCTGGCAGCAGGGTTCGCATGCGGTTCCCCGCCCACCCCAGGTCCATCGCGGCATACCCCTCACACGGTTCGTGGACCCATTGGGAGCTCCACCGAGGGCCCCAATGGCAAGCTTCACATGCGGTTCCCCGCCCACCGCGCGTCCATTTCGGCACACCCCTCACACGGTTCGTGGCCTCATGTGGAGCTCCACCGAGGGCCCCGGCAGCAGGGTTCGCATGCGGTTCCCCGCCCACCCCAGGTCCATTTCGGCACACCCTCACACGGTTCGTGGCCTCATATGGAGCTTCACCGAAGGCCCCAGTGGCAGGGTTCGCATGCGGTTCCCCGCCCACGGCGCCTCCATTTCGGCACTCCCCTCACACGGCGCGTGGTAACATAGGAAGCTCCACCGAGGGCCCCAGCAGCAGGTTTTGCATGCGGTTCCCCGCCCACCCCAGGTCCATTTCGGCAAACCCCTCACTCGGTCCGTGGCCCCATAGGGAGCTGGGTTTGCATGCGGTTCCCCGCCCACCGCGCGTCCATTTCTGCACTCCCCTCACACGGTTCGTGGACCCATTGGGAGCTCCACCGAGGGCCCCAGTGGCAGGGTTCGCATGCGGCTCCCCGACCACCGCGCGTCCATTTCTGCACTCCCCTCACACGGTTCGTGGCCCCATGGGGGGCTCCAGCGAGGGCCCCAGCAGCAGGGTTCGCATGCGGTTCCCCGACCACCGCGCGTCCATTTCGGCACACCCCTCACACGGTTCGTGGCCCCATGGGGGGCTCCAGCGAGGGCCCCAGCAGCAGGGTTCGCATGCGGTTCCCCGACCACCGCGCGTCCATTTCGGCACACCCCTCACACGGTTCGTGGCCCCATGGGGGGCTCCAGCGAGGGCCCCAGCAGCAGGGTTCGCATGCGGTTCCCCGACCACCGCGCGTCCATTTCGGCACACCCCTCACACGGTTCGTGGCCCCATGGGGGGCTCCAGCGAGGGCCCCAGCAGCAGGGTTCGCATGCGGTTCCCCGACCACCGCGCGTCCATTTCGGCACACCCCTCACACGGTTCGTGGCCTCATGTGGAGCTCCACCGAGGGCCCTGGCAGCAGGGTTCGCATGCGGTTCCCCGCCCACCCCAGGTCCATTTCGGCACACCCCTCACACGGTTCGTGGCCTCATATGGAGCTCCACCGAGGGCCCCAGTGGCAGGGTTCGCATGCGGTTCCCCGCCCACGGCGCCTCCATTTCAGCACACCCCGCATGCGATTCCCCGCCCACCGAATCTGCGGGTCCCCGCCCAATATTGCGTTTCGTGGCCCTAGAGGGAGCTCCACGGAAGACGATATCCACAACTGCGGTGCTCACAACTGTATATGGTTGGGTCCTTTGCCGAGCTGTTGTTTGGGGATGTTCTTCCTGTAGAAGGACATGCCCGACTTAACTGTAGCCCCCTTTCGCAGGACGCCTCCCAAGAAGCCCCTGACCGCAAGCACCGCGCATGACGCTCGTGTCGTGCTCTGACCGCGCCTCCTCCTGCCTCCTCCTCCTCCTCCTCGTGAACGTTTTCTTCTTCGGCGTTTCGACATTGGGCGGAGGGGGGGGAGAAGGGGGGCTCTGGCTCCAGACCTCTGCTCAGTGCGACTGTTTGCAATAATACGTCCTATGGAGGATGCTCCACCTGCTCGAAACTGGCGGCGCAAACACCCAAAACCTACTCCATGGAGGAGGAGAAGGGGGGGGGCGAGGGCCCGCGCCGACCGGCAAAACAATGCATAAGAAAACGATCACCTCCTCCTGTCTTTCTTCTCCTGCTGCCTTGGTGCTCGCCTTGCTGGCCCGCGCACCTGCTCTAGACAGATCACGGTGCCCCTGAGGAGGGGGGGGGACAAAATGGGATCCCCCCATACCTCCGACGGGGACTGGCTCTTCATGCCCGGACGATCGACTTTTTCAAATCCCAAGGCCTTCCGAGGACCAACCCTGGAGGCTGTAAATGGTCCAAACACATCGCTGCGACAAAGATCAGCGGCGAACCCGGAGGGCAAATGAGAAGGAGAAGGGTTTCTCAGAAGGCTCGGAAGTCTCCAGGCCTTCTGAGAGGTGTTTCAAGCCTTCCCCGAAGACAGAGAAAATTTCTCAGAAGGCCCGAGGTCGTTTGAGAAGTCCCGCCGCCTTTGACCGGATCCACCCAGAAGGTCTCGTGCATGCTCTGCGTGAATTTCGCATCCCGCCGGCGATGGTCGACATGATCAAAGGCATTTACAAGACACGGAAGATTGTAGTGCAAGACGGAGGCACGACGACGTCGCAAAGGACACCATCAGCTGGTATTGCGCAAGGCTGCCCGTTATCACCCTACTTGCTCATTATCGTAATGTCCGCAATCTTGCAACATGTTGACGAAAGCTTGGATTCCATATTACCACGCAGGTCAACACGCCACTATCTTATTTCCAGAGATGTCCTGTACGCTGACGACACAGTGCTCGCTGCCTGGAAACCAGACGCACTTCAAGCACTTTGGAACTCGGTCTTGGCTGTGGGGAAGGAGTACGGCCTGGAACTAAACGCGGGGAAAACGGTATTACTCAAGATACGGGCGGAATAGTACTTTTCGGGAGCGGTCAAGAAGGGGGTGTCCAAGAGGGGGGGGTGCAAATCATGACCGGCGGCATGTGCGCGGCCCAGCGGGGGGGCCGGAGACGTAATGAAATAAGAAGAGGCGCCATGAAATCTGGGGAAATATCATGGCCCACGCCATGATATCCACCCCCCCTAGTCATCACCCCCCTCTTTTCCGCCCCCGAACTTTACGGGCCAGACGGCGAAGAGATCAAACGTAAGGGTCCTGCCTGGGAGGACTGGTCAGTATCGATGGGGGAGGCCGCGGGCGGAACTCACACGCGGCGCCTCGGGGAAGCAGAAGGGATGCTCCAGAAGAGCTGTCAAGGTGAAGGACCGAAGCCCCTTTTCTCCAGAAGTTAAACTCTGATTTCCCATCGGAGACCTAAGGAACACCTCAGACAAGCTGTAAAACGGTCCAGGAACACCGAGCCCCTCCCCAACGAAAAGGGTTCCTTCTTCAGCGCCCCGACAGTATGCTAAATTTGCACCCACCCCTGAGTAGAAAGCGCAAGACGAAGGTTCTGGAAGCATGCGTCGTTTCGAAACTTCTGTACGGGTTGGCAATCTTGCACGCGTTTACAAGCGGACGGAAACAGGGCCGATGGCTTCCAGGCGAGGTGCTGACGCTCAGTATTCAAAACATCCTACCTTCTTTTGCGTCACGCGGTGACCAATGCAGAAGTCCGTGTGAGCTCGCGCAGGTACGGCCTTTATCAGCTTCCTTACTTGAAATGCAACTTAAACTGCATGCTACACTTGCCCCGGGCGGCCCCACAAGCTTACCGAGAGCCATGGTGTTCGAGTGTGGTGAAGGCTCTGACGTCCTACCTCGGAAATGGATGGCGCCGCGGTCCCGAGGGCGCCCTGGTGTGCAGTGGACGAACTACATGCACGCAAAGGCTCTCGTGGTGGCAGGTGGCAGCTCTAATGCACTACAAGCACTACTGGTAAGTAGAGCACAGTGGAATGAGACAGTAGACCGACAGTGTCTACAATAGTATGACAGTATGACAGATTATTGTGTGTCCTCCTCGTCGTCCTCCTCCCCTCCCCCTCCCCCTCTGCCCTCCCCCCTCCCTCGCGTTGCATGCTGTGTCCTGAGCAGCGGATCACCAGCACAAAGTTTCTGGTGATTGCACACCTTCTCGCCCTGCACGCCGCACGCGTTTTTGTCAGTTTCCCCGCATGTGTGAGTTCGTAGTCCTTTTTTGCTGCGCCAATGCGCCGTCCAGGTGCGGCTTCGTGTGTGTGCGCCGCCTTCCGAGAAGGCCTTTCCCTTCTCCCTCCCCCCCCCTCTCGCTCGCCGCCGACAAGAACAACACCTTCCTGCCCCTCCCCGCGATCGGCGTGCGGGGCCGGCGGCAGCGGCGGCGGCACCGTCCCCTCGGCCGTCGTCGTCGACCCCCCCGTGGGAACCGTCCCTGCCCCGCCCACGTCCCGTGGTAGGCGTACTCCCACTCGGGGCCGCTCTCGACCGCAGGCTCCTGGCCGCAGCGCAGCTCCCGGGGGGGAAGGCACCCGCGCTCCAGGCCCAGGTTCCTCGGAGGTCTGTCGCAGCAGCGCAAAGCCCAATCCGCAGCAACCCATCCCAATCATGATGATGGTGATACTCAAAATCCCTTCTTAATCGTCCCCCGGCTCCGGTTTTTCAAGGCGCCTTTTTGTAACTGGGGGGGTCTGGTTTATTAGGGCACTTGCTTTGGACTGGACCTCAGGGGGTCCAGTTTATTCAGGCGCCCCGAGGGGGGTCGGGAACATGTGGAGGGGGGTCCGGTATTTTTAGGGGGGGTCGATGAAGAAAGGATTTGGAGTAACGACGGGGATGATGATGGTGCTGGTGTTCAAGCCTCATTTCCGAAGAAGATGTACTGTTGATCCCCCCTGCGGCGCACAGTGCCACTCCGTGCGGTTCGCACCCTGTGCTTCTCGCAGGGAAGATCTGGAAGGTCAGACCTTGGGCCCCTGGCCGCCGACGGACAAGAAAGACGGCTCCCGCCAGGTACCTCCTCACAGTGGGACTTTCCCGCAAGGTATGCAAGGATCGCGCTCTCGCGTGGGACGTCCTCGCGATGTGTTCAGACGCCGCGCCCTCGACGCTCAGGAGCCGCGCTCTCGCTCTGGTTCTTCCCGCGATGCATTTGGGAATCGCGC